CAGAAAAGCTGGCTTTTTGCTGGCTCAAAAAGGTGTGCCTTTCTCCCACTTCTTTTTGCACCGGCAAATTTCTGGATCGGGGGTGCAGCATGTGGTTGCCGCAGCGCACGGCTCCACAGTGGCCCTAATCTTACATTTTTGGGCGGTCTGTTTTGCCCCTAAGACACAGAGCAGTGGATTCAATCTATGGGAAAGGAGATTCCCCCTAAACTTTAGGAAGAACTTCCTGACAGTAAAAGCTGTTTGACAGTGGAACACACTCTCTTGAAGAGTGGTGGAGCCTCCTTCTTTTATGGGTTTTAAACAGAGGCTGGATGGCCATCTGTCAGGTGTGTGCTTTGATTGTGTATTCTTGCATGGCAGAAGGGGATTGAACCAGATGTCCCTTGGGGTCTCATCCAACTCTAGGATTCTAGGATTCAAAAAGACCATTGAAGGAGGACTTTCTTTCAGTCCCACCAAGGGATGTTTGGTGAAGACCCAGGAAATGGTCTTCTTGGGGCTGCTCCCAGGTTGTGGAACTCCCTTTCTGCTTTCTTTCTGCCAGCAGGCAAACACCTTTTTACTTAAACAGGCATTCAGTTGTTTACTGATTGTGATCTTTTAATGTGCTGTACTTTAATCTTCATTGTTTCTTGTTGCTGTGATCCTCCAAGTCATTTTTTACTTACAGCAACCCTAAGGCAAACCTATCATAGGGTTTCCTTGACAAGTTTTTTCAGAGGGGATTTGCCATTGCTTTCCTCAGAGGGTGAGAGAGTGTGACTTGCCCAAGGTCACCCAGTGGGTTTTTATGCTCGAGAGGGAATTGAACCCTGGTCTCTAGAGTCATAGTCCAACACTCAAACCACTATACCACACTGGCCCTCATTACTATGTTTTAAAATACTTTTTACAGTGTTTTAAACTGGTGTTTTAAAAATGATTGCTTATTTAATTTTGTTTTTAACTTTTGTCCTATAAATTATTTTAGCAGTATTTGGGTTTAACCAATGCTGTAAGCCACCTTGGCTCCCATATTGAGAGAAAGGTGGGCTATAAAATAAATAAATACTGTATATACTTGACTATAAGTAGATCTCATGTATAAGTTGCAGGCAGGTTTGGGGGCCAAAATTATGGATTTTGATATGACCCACGGATAAGTCAAGGATAAAATTTAGGGGCCTCTTAACAAAGGATCTAAAGGATGAAGCAAAGGAAAACAATGCCAAAGAACTTACAAAATCCCAGCAGGTATAACTGTTAGCACTTACACTTAAGGCTGGATTGAAGAGGATCAGTGCTTCTAGGACAGATTACACTCTTGTCTTTCTCCAGAGGATGGTTCCTTTTTAAAATAAGAGTTAAAGTGCAGTACTTACGATTACACTCAAAATACTTCAACACAGACTACAAACACCCATGGAGAGAGAAACCCCAGAAGTCCAAGCAGGGTTCAGGAAAGGAAGAGACACCAGAGATCAAATTGCAAATATATGATGGCGAATGGAGAGTAGCAGGGAGTTCCAAAAGAAAATCGGCCTGTGCTTTATAGACTATAGCAAAGTGTTTGACTGCATAGATCATGAAAGGCTATGGAATGCCCTTAAAGACACGGGAGTGCCAACACATCAGATAGTCCTGATGAGGAATCTGTACTCAAGAAAAGAGGCTACTGTCAGAACAGAAGACAGAAAACACAATGGTTCCCAATTGGCAAAAGAGTCAGACAAGGCTGCATCCTATCACCCTACCTATTCAACTTAGATACAGAAAATATTGTAAGAAAAGCAGGCTTGGACACAGAAAAAGGAGGAGTGAAAATAGGCTTGGACACAGAAAATAGGAGGAAGGAATATCAACAATCTAAGATATGACACCATAATACTAGCAGAAAGCCTCACACACCTGGAACAACTACTGAGAAAGATCAAAGGAGAAAGTGCTAAGGCAGGCTTAATGTTGATCATGAAGAAAACAAAAATAATGACCACTCAGGACCTTCACAAGTTCAATCTAGACAATGAAAAAATAGAAATAGTAAAAGAATTTCCATACCTGGGATCAAACATCGATAGAAATGGGGACTGCAGTCAGGAAATCAGATGAAAACTAAGAATGATGAGGGTGGCTATGAAAGAACTAGAAAAGATTCTAAAATGCAAAGACATACAACTCAGCACAAAAGTCAGAATCATACAAGCCATCGTATTCCCTATTACAATATATGGATGTGAGAGCTGGACAGTCAAGAAAGACGATAGGAGGAAAATCAATACATTTGAGAGAAAGTGTTGCTGGAGAAGAGTGCTGAGGATCCCATGGACAGTCAAAAGGACAAACAAATGGGTCCTAGAGCAGATCTAGCCAGACATATCCCTAGAAGCCAAGATAACAAGACTTAGACTGTTGTCCTTTGGACACATCATGAGAAGGCATGAATCATTGGAAAAGACAATAATGTTAGGAAAGGTGGAGGGAAGTAGAAAGAGAAAAAGGCCACATGCTAGATGGATAGACTTTATTAAAGAAACCATGAATATGAGTTTCCAGGAACTAGGCAGAGCAATAGAGGACAGGTGGGGCTGGAGAGGTCTCATCCATAGGGTAGCCATGGGTCGAGATCAACGCAAAACTAGTTAACAAATAAAACAAAAAACTTACATTGACCTATGGATAACTTGACTCAGGTCATTTTGGGTTAATTTTTTGATTAACATTTTTAGATTTCTACATGAATATATGCAGTATTTTTTAAATGGCACCTCTATGGTCATGGCAGCCAGATTGGTTTCTGGTACTTCCAGAAGGGAACACGTAACACCTGTGTTAAAAACTCTCCACTGGCTGCCCATTAGTTTCCGGGCACAGTACAAGGTGTTGTTTTTGATCTTTAAAGCCCTACATGGCCTGGGTCCAACTTATCTCCAGGACCGCCTCCTTCCGTATGATCCCCCCCCCACACGCACTCAGGTCCTCTGGGAGATATCTGCTACAGCCGTTGAGAACTAGGTTGACAATAACCTCCCAGGGGGCCTTCTCCGCCACCGCTCCCATATTATGGAATGGCCTGCCGGACGAGATTCGTCTTATTACTACTCTAGATAGCTCTACTCTTTTAAAAAGCTGTCAAGGCGGATTTCTTCCAGCAGGCCTTTCCAGAATGATTCTCCCGGCCTAAAGTTTTAAATAATTCCCCCCTTTCTTGTGCTGTCACTGAATACCCAATCTGCTGCAAAACTGTATTGGATATATTCCTTCT